TGCTTTATTGCTGTATTCCCCCATCCCCAGAGAAGAGAAAAATTAATATGTAGTACATGTTAAGGCAGACACGGGTATACACAGAGAATTTCATTTAAGATTATTCCAGAAAATGCCTCCTGGACTTAATCTCCATGAGGGCCAGGACCATAGCCTTCAGATTTCTCTCTGAAGAACAAATGCTCAGGGCAGGTGTTGCCATAAAGTACGAAGGCCCTATGACTGATGCTCCAGCACCACCTTATTGCATTTCTCTCATTCTTCACACTGTTTTAGTCACATTGACCAACTTTCAGGAGTGCAGACCTGCAGTGAGTTCAGGATTTCACCGCCCATTAAGGAAAAAGATGTGACCACTAGGTGACCATAGCACACCACTTTTAGTCCCTCACCACAGTCACCCTGTATCCAGGATCTCCACTGGCTCTTTGCACATGCTGTTGCCTCTGCCTAGAACACCCTTCCAGCCCCTCGTCACCTAGTTAGCATCTGCTGAACTCTCTGATCTCACATCATTTCTTCAGCCAAGCCATTATTAAATCAAGTCCTCCTATCACAGGCTTTTAAAACCCCCTCTTCTTTTCCCAACAGTGCAGATGGTTAATGGCTTCCCAGTGTCCAGGTTTCCCATCTTCCTTCTGGTAACAGAAAACACCCTTGCCGTTTTTCAAAGGGCACATACCAGAGCCCACATCTCCCCCAGCTGCTTTTGCAGCTGGATGTGGCCACGAACTATGTTCTGGCCCGTGGCAGTGAGGAGAGAAGTGTTCAAATTCCAGGTCCTGCTCTTAAAAATGATGTGTGAGTCCCTCCCTCCCTCCTCCTCCCTAGCTCCTTTCCTACCAGCTCAGAACCAGATATCAAAGCTATAGTTTGATAAAAGCAAAGATGTTGATAAATAGCCCTAGACTTTTCGACCATCTACTGTTAAGTGAGAGAGAAATAAAATTAAATAGATTTTTTTCTTGGTGGCGGGGGGATGATCTCTGCTACAGCAGCTTAAAGTGCTGGCTGATCAGTACAGTGAGTGACATATTTGTTAATGCTTTGGTTTCTCTGTGAACTTCATGAGAGTAGGGTATATGTCTGCTATTACTTTCTACTGTGTCCCCAGTGCCTGTCATGGTGCTTGGTACATGGGAGCCCTTAAGTTAATATGAGATAAGTGGATGAATGCGAACTTGGGGGGAGCAGGTACAGGGATAAAAGTGGAAGTCCTAAGGGTGAGGATGCCTGAGTTTGTGGAGTAAGAGGGATTTTCAGTTGAAGCTAATAGATTTGTTTTTCTATAGCTGTTATAATAAGTTGTCACAAACTAAGTGGGCTGAAACTACATAAATTTTTTAATCTTTTGTTCTGCAGGTCAGAAGTCCAAAACGGGTTGGCAGGCTGGCTCCTCTTTCAGGTCCAGGAGGAGAATCTAATTCCTTGTTGTTTGCAGCTTCTAGAGGCCACCTGCATTCTTCGATGCATTGGCCCTGCATCCTGCTGACCTCAGAGGCCATCTTTACTTGCCTTTTCTGACTGACCCTTGTGATGACATCGAACCCACCCAAATTATGCAGGCTGATCTCCCCACCTCATGAGTCTTAATTGAATCACATCTGTAAAGTCCCTCTTATAATGTGTAACATATTCAAAGTTTCCGGAAATTGAGACATCACATGTTTCATCAAACCATTACCCTACCCAGCATAGAAGGGCAAATTTACAGAGCCTGCTTCTGTAACCTTCAGCGTGTCAAGCTCATCCAGTGACAGTGGGCATGGTCCTTATGACCTATGTGCCAGGCCCTGGGGATGTAGAAATAAAACAGCCTGGTCCCTTAGACAAGCTTGTGGTCAGGTCTAGGAGACAGAGGATCAGAATACAGGACAACAAGCACTCAATTAGGGTGCGATGAGGCACTAAGGAAGCACGAATGGGTCAGGCAAGAGTTTTCAGAGGAAACAGCATCTAATCTGAGACCTAGAAGACAATCAGAGGTAACCTGGCAAGAGGAGACAGAAAGAGGAGACTGTGCCAGATGTGTCACAGTCTCATTAGGGACATCTTGGGAACTCTGAGCCTTTATGGGTGATAAATAAAAGGCATCACTGCCTCAGAAAGCATCAGTGGCTTTGCAATTGTTGAATGTTAAACATTCTCCTTTGTCTTTCTCATTTAAAAGTGAAAGTAAGACAGGAGATGAAAACTAGTAAAATCCACAAGACTTGACTCAACAAACTGGAAGACAGTTTTATTGTTTTTCAGAGGCAGAATCAGGGGGATGAAGAAACCCAACAGTTTAAGCACACAGACTCTCTGAGTTCCCAGGGTGAATTGTACATGTCTCAGAGGGCTGTTGCTGATGACCTTGAATAACATGTGGATCACCTGGCAAAATTGTATGGAGACATGATAAATGGTAGAGAGTGAAATTCATATTATAGCTACTATTCATTCAATATGCATTCATTGAACGCTTGGTCTCTACCAAGCCTTGTGCTAGTCATGGGGTAAACTGCTATTGGGATATATTGCATAGATAAATGCATGGGTATATTGATGGATATTGACTAAGTAAATGAATAGGTGAGTAGATTAATAAATTGCTTACTTGATCAATGAAGGGAAGAATGGATTAATGGATGTGAGAATGAATGAATAATGAATAAGAGCAAATGAAAGGATAGGTAGATGGGCAAATGAGAGCAGTGGAAAGGGATGGATGCATAGAAAGAAATAAGGGTGAGAATCAATGAAGAAATAGATGACAGACTAAATCAAAGAGTAAGTAGATGAGTAATTGAATGATTGAATGAATGAGCGAGTGAATAGATGGAGCCATGTTGAAGTACAAACTCGGAGTCAGCCTCCCTGGTGTGGCACTGACTTCCCATATGACTTTGAGGGAACTTCATGTCCCCTCTCTATTTCACCACTTTTCCATCTGTAAAGTGGGCAGATTGTATTTGATGACTTTGCAAGCCCATCCAGGTAGGGTTCCCTCTTCATTAACTGGGTCCCTTTTCACCCGTAATCTCCCACACCCACATGTGCTCTGGGGTGGGAGTGGAGGTTGCCCTGGATATCCTCTGCCAGGGTCCCACATTGGTACTAAGAACAATCCCAGAAACTTCCTTTCAGAGTCTCCCCACACCCTCCATCTATTCATCAAGTCAGTGCACACAGGTGGCTATTTTGACTTCAGATTTCAGTTCTGCTTAATCCCATACTAGAATACCCTAATCTCACACACCAAGAGAACTGGGCGTTGAAAAAACATAATTTTATACTGTTTACTCATTTTATAAAGTTCCCAATCTTTACACAAGTCCTGGTTTAGGTCAGTTTCTGAAATAAACGCACACACCAATAAATATTGCTTATCCGCCTGCAAACCAGGTGTGTGGTCCTGTGTGTGCACACACGCGTGTTAGGCGTGGGGGTTGTAACATCAGAGAAGGCAGCATTTTGAACAAAATAGAAAGTATCAGTGTGCATCTGTATAGAGTAAATACTGCGTCTTGGAACTTGAATTTTGGTTTATAGAGATAAATGGATGTGTGTATAGGGTTGCAATGTAAACCTTACTTCTTACTCTATGTCGTCTCCCCAGGAAAAGAGATAAAAAGTTAAAGGTGCTGATTAAAGTTTTAACGATCTCTTTCCATGTGTTGCAGACAAGTTATTTTGCTTATTTCTCTCTAGAACTGACATGGTAGATATGTTTAGCTTCCTGTTTCACATTGAAAACTGAGGAAGTTCCATAGATTGCTCTAGGTGGATATGTTTAGCTTCCTGTTTCACATTGAAAACTGAGGAAGTTTCATAGATTGCCCAGCTAGGGGGTGAGGGCGCTGCGGCTGTCCAAAAATTGGAAGCCGCGTTCTTCTCCATAAAATGGTAAGAGGGGAGCTAGGAAGTTGGAAATTTTAATAGAAGAGAGGAGGATGTATGTGCCACCAAACTTAGTTATAAATCAAGAAAGGAACATATGAGAGTTAAGCAACAGAAAGTGCTTAGAGACAGAAACTGCATATATGGGTGAGAAAGACATCAAGATTCACCAGATAAAAACAGAACTTAATAATTAACTGAGAAGAAACTGTGCATGTAGCCAGGCCTTCGAGGAAGAGAGATAAGAAGAGCAAACAGGCTAGAAGGTGGAATGGTTCGCGTTATTTTTAGCACAACTATGAGGGCAGCCAAGAGCACAGTAGAAAGCAGACCAAGTGGAGTTTATGATGCCCAGGTCGCAGCTCTGCTGCACACGCTCCACTTGCTGTTGCCTTGGCAACAGACCCCAGCTTAATGATACTGACGACTCAAGAAACGACAGCCATACGCAAACGAAGCTGTAATTAGGAAAGAATGTCTGGTCTATTTTGGTTTACCTTTGCGGAAGGTTTGAGGAGGCATTTAAGACGGTTGCTTGGTGACTGAGCGTGATGTCACAATGGGGAATAAGTCGCTTAAAAGGAGAGCTGAGCTGGAGCATGCGCAATCGGAAAAAACGAACCTCATTTGAGTCCTGAGATTTTGGTAGAAATCGCTGCTATATGGTAGCCAACATTTAATGAGCATTTGCTATGGGTCAGTCACTGTTTTAAACGCTTCGTGTGTGTTGTCTACTTAATTATACAACGATCCTACGAAGTGGGTATCTTCAGTGCTCCCATTTACAGCCAACGCAAGGGAAGCTTGCGGAAAGTCATTTTCCTAATATTCCACAGTGGATGAGCAGCAGCACTAGGATTCGAACCCAGGTCTTCTGTCTAGGAAGCCTTGAGCACTGATACCACCTCCCACTGATCCGGGAGATCCTGGAGAAATGGCCTAGAAGGAAGCTAGAGCTCGGAGTACGAAGGCTATCATTACTCGGGAAGCTGGTCTTGGCGGGACCGGAGGGCTGTGGGGCCCCTGGAAGGGCCAGGCCAATCCGCGGTCCCTGTTGCTTCTCTACATCTGAGAAGTCTTCTCACTCAGCAGGTGTCTAGATCCAGTCTTCTGGGGGACTAGCAGGGACTGCGCCAGTCCAGAATCAGCAGCGTGGCCAGGGAGACGAGGACCAGGATCGCCAGCCCCAGGCGGATGAGGTTGCCCAGGGTGTAGTCGGAGGAGCCCGAGCCTGCGGGGCCAGCAGGAACAGAGGAGGTCTGTGACCCCACCGGAAATCTCGACCCCACCCTCATGGTCTCTAACCTCGGGGCGAGTTGGGGACCCAATACCCTCAAAATTGAGGTGGGTCGATGGGAGGGGGAACCTTGACTCCCGGGTCTGAGGGATGCGGCTGGGGGCCTGGACTCCCAAATCTGAGGGAGGAGGTGCTGGAGGGTGGGGGCCCCTCACCGTCCCAACTGATGACCAGCGGCTCGCTGCGCTGCGACAGCACGTAGGGAGCGTGAGGCGTGTGGTAGTAGCAGCTGTAGGTGCCGGGGGCGCTGGCGCGAGGCAGCGGGAAGTCAGCCCAGGACCGCTCTGAGTTGTGGTACTGCAGCGGCACTGCCTCGCCCACGCGGTACAACGCGAACCGCATGTCCCGCAGGCGGCCAGTGCAGCGCAGGCTCACGTTGTCGCCAGGCGCCACCACCGGCCCGGGCAGCGCCACCAGCGATGGGCGGGGCAGCTCATCTGCGAGGGAGGAGGATGAGCACGCAGGTGGGCTCGGGGGTCCTCTCTCGCTCTCCTCCCTCTCTTTTTCTTCCCCACCCTGAACATCCCTTTTCTCCTCTGTGCCTGCTCCTAAAATTCTCTGTGTGTCTGTCTTCACCCCTCGCCGAGAGTATTTCAGTCTCCCTGGATCTCAGTGGCAGTGTCTCCTGATGTTTTCTCCTTCCATTTCTGTGTCTCTCCCAGGGTTTCCCAACTTCTGCATTAGTGACATTCTGGATAAATCTGGATAATTCTTTGTTGTGTGGAGTGGGGGTGGGGACTGCCCTAGGCATGTCTGCTCTCTGTGCACTGAATGCCAGTAGCACACCCTTCCCTAGTCAGAACAATCAGAAATGTCTCCAGATCTTGCCAAAGGTCACCTGGGAGGGCACAATTGTCCCTGGTTGAGAATCATCCCCGTTGCGCGTCCTCTCACTCTCTCGCTCTTTCTTCTGTGTCATTATAGAAGCCTGTGTGTCTCTGTCCCTCCACTCCCATCCCTCACCCCACTCCTGTGTCCCTTCTCCCTCTCCCCCAAGACCTCACCTGTCACCAGCAGTTCCAAGGCATCACTGGGGTGGGACCAGACACCCAGCGCCCAGCCTGGATTTTGGTATCTGCATTGATAACTGCCGCCCTGGGCTGGGGTCACCTCCTCCAGGAAGACCTCTGCCAGCTCCGCGGACACAACCCGATACAGCATGGGGGTGATCTCTCCATACTTGAATAGTGCAAACTTCCAGGCAGGTTGGGGTGCCCTGCACCTCAAGGTCACGTTGACTCCAGGGATCACAATTGCAGCTGGCTGAGCCCCCAGCCACGGCTTGGGGTATGAGGCTGTGGGGACTGAATAAATGGGCGGCCTGGGTCCTCAGGCTTCCTGGGAGCCCAAGAAGGTGAAGGAGGAGTGGGGGTGGGAAGAGAATCACCTGGAGGCAATCATAGCCCCCTTCTCAGCCTAGGTTCCCTCTTTGTAAAAGAGAGGAGGCACTGGACTCCTGTGGGCTTTGTCTAAACTAATTGCAGAGCACAGGAGCAAGGTGTCAACTCCTGAGAAAGAGCAAGGCGACTTCCTCTACATTCTTTAAACATCATATCAAGGGGCAGGGTCCCAGAAACCTGGGATTTTAAATTGCTCTCCAGAATATTTGTAACATATCCAACATGTCTCAATAGTTGCCAAACTTGCTGTCTATTTGGGAGAAAATATGTTGGATCTCGGCCTCACACTCTCCCACCAAACAAATTCCAGATTAATTACCTACCTGAGTTTTTTTTTTTTTTTTTTTTTACAATAAAAGAATTTGAAGAAAATATAGGAAAATGTATTTGTCTAGGGGGTAGAGAAGGCTGTCTTAAAATATAAAATGAAAAATCCAGAAGGAACAAGGTTAGTAAATTTGACCCCTTCAACATTTGCAAGTTGCATATGAGAAAAGACAAATGAAGCTAGAAGGCAAATGACAGCACTGGCAGAAATAAATCACATCGATTAAGAGTGTAGAAAGAAATCCTAGGACCAAACCAATTGAAATCCAGTTGGGTAACACATGTGACTAGGCAATTCAAAGAACAGGAAGCCTCATTGACCAAAACACATTTGGTGGTGGTGGGAAGGGTTGTTCAGACTCAGTAATAGTAATCATAAAAAAAAAAATTAAAAAAAATTAAAATGAGAGATATTTTTGACTATTAGGCTGTCAAAAATTAAAACTGGTTAATATTCCTCTTGGGTGGAGATGAAGTGAAACAGGCACTTAGGTGCACTTAAATGCACTTTTTGAGAAGGCAATTTGTCAGTTTCTATCAAGACACACAAAGGTGTGACCAACAACCCCCATAATCCCACATCTGCACCCTAGGCAAAGGCACATACAGGTGCCCAAAAAGCTCATACAGGAGTCATTGCAGCACTGGTTGGCGGGGAAGGGGGCAGGAATTAGAAACAACCTAAAAATACATCAAGAGAAATGAATCAACTAGCATCTTGCCACACAATGGCAAATGCTGGAAAGCATTTAAAAAGAGAAATGGTAAAGTGAAGAAAAGTAAGATGCAGAACATTGTGAATCATGAAATATCAATTTTGCCTTGGCCAGGAAACCAAGAAGTACATAAATACATAAATGAATGTTTAAGTGCTTGGAAATTTTTTGTAAGGATTCAGAGATTATTTAAGGAAGATGAGGAAGGGGAAGAAAGAGGCTGTATGGGTCCTTTGGTAATGACTGAATTTTTAAAACCATGAATCTATATTAGCTTTGTCATTTAAAAATAGTTTAAAATAGATTGATAGCTTAGGTATTGATGGTTCTCCAGGTGGTTCTTATTTGAAGTTGGAGCGTAGCAAGGAGTGTGTGTGTGTGTGTGTGTTGGGGGGTGCGGCGTCTCACCCATAGGAAAGCCTAGAGAGACATGTATGGCTGTCTCGGGGTGGAGGATACTACTTTCCAAATGGGGGAATAATTAGCATTGCCAGAAACCCCATCTCCTGAACCCTGTGCTATGCCAAGTTCTGAACCAAGGACTTTTCACAGGTGATTTCATTAAATCCTCACAACCGCCCATTTCACAGAGAAGGAAACTGAGTCTTAGCATGCAATAGTTTGTTCAAGGTTATAAATGAATAAGATGGTAAAATTGGGGTTCCAGCTTAGGTCTCTAGCTCCATAAAGTTCATAGTCTTCACTGCTAACCTATACTGGTTACTAAAGGGAGTGAAGATGAAAGGAGAGAAATAAAGGAAGAGGAGGGCGGGCACCAAAATAAAATCTGAATAGGTGGAAATGAGATGTCAGCAACATACAAAAGAATAGATGGGGGTTGTTACTCACCAGTCATAGTGATGTCTGCGTGACATAGTGGCCCTGTAGAAGGTTTAGGGGGCTTGGTTTTGTCAAAGCCCTAGGCTGCTACCAGCTCCATTAAATCCTCACAACAGCCCATTTCACAGAGAAGGAAACTGAGTCTTAGCATGCAATAGTGTGTTCAAGGTTATAAATGAATAAGATGGTAAAACTGGGGTTCCAGCTTAGGTCTCTAGCTCCGCTCCTGTTATTCTGGGATTACTGGTAACCCAGGAATCTAAGTCCGTAGGCCCTCTTTCCTCTGGGATACAGGAATTTTGCCCACACTTTCTCCTTTCTCAGGAGCCATAAATCCAAACATCTAATCTCCACCTACTTAAGAAACCAGAAGTCTGGACTCAGACCCCTGGGGCCCCTGTGCCCAAAAGTTCAGGCTCCTGGACTCCATCTTTTCCAGAAAACAATAATCTGGGCTCACAGTTTCTCATCCTTGGGTTTCAGGGGTCTGGGCCCCAGCTCCCTCCTTTCCCAGGGACCCAGGTTTTTCTGGCTTTCATCTCCCCTCCCACAGCAGAGTCCCCAGGAGTTCAGGTCTCTGGCCCTCTCCGGCCTCAAAAAGCCAGAGAATCCTGCCCCAACTTCCTTTTCTTCCAGGAAACCAGGAATTCAGGACCCCTGTGTCCTCTTTATTTTAGGGCTCAAGGGTCTGGGCCCCAGTCCTCTCTTGTTATTCTGGGTATAGTTCTGAACCCTTAGCTGCCTGATCACCCTGCACCTGCCCTCAGGCAGACCCAGTAATCCTATCCCTTGCTTCCCCACTCCCCCTGTAAGTATCTGAGTCCCAGAGCCTGCCTCTCTGTGCCTGAGGGACCCAAGCAGAAAGGGTTGAGGTGGCTCACAGAAGGTCAGCAGCTGGAGGATCAACACCAGGGCCATGGTGGGCAGATCTGGCAGGAGCGAGAGCAGGAGCCAGGGCTCAAGCTTCTTAAATCTACTTCCAGGAAGTGAGGCAATATCAGAAAGTCAGAGGCAGAGCCCTTTTTAAGGAAGAGAGCGTTGTGGCGTGATCAATTCTAAGACCCACGGAGCCAATTGAGATGAATTATGAGCCTTTATTAGCCGGCCAGTGACTGACTCTCTACCACGCAGGATTCGAGGAGATCAGCCCCGAGCTCCCCACAGAGGCAGCTTATAAAGCCTAGAACCATACCCTGGTTTAACAAGCAAACAGATTAACCACACCCTAGTTAACATCAAACAAGCAAACAGATTACAGAAGCAGAAGTTGGCCATTAGCATATCTTTGCCCAAAACTACACCCTTAACAAGAGGAGCGAGGTGGGAGCCCCTGCGTGACTGTCCCAACCTCACAGCGCTGTGGAAAAAGTTGGAATTGGGGCAACTGTAACCGGTTGTGTTCATTAATTAAAATTTTTAAATAAAAAATTAGCACCGCTTATGTGCCAGACTCTGCTGCGCGATTCTGGGACCACAGAGAGGAGTCAGACCCCGTTACTGCTCTCAAGCAGCTCCCGTCTGATGGAAGGGCAGATCTGGACCAGGTCCGTTTAAAAAAAAAATAATAACAATAATGTGTACTATAATGGAGCTTCCATAGAGCACTGCGACAGTTCACATAAGGCCCCTAGCCCTTTTGCGGTGAGGATTAGGGCTTCCAAGACGAGCTGATTTTGAGTTGCAACCTCAAATGATCAGTCAGTCATTCGTCCTCTCCCAGCCTCCGTTTCTCCATCTATAAAATGGGCTCTCCTAAGTAAACCATGAAACGAGGACGATTGCATTCCATCTTAAGTGGGTTGCTGCAGGACTGGGAGTTACTCCTCCGGAGCGACTTCCAGGCTGAGAGACAGGAGAGCGGAAGCAGGTGTACCCAAACAGGCTTGCACTTAAACCTGGGATGCCTGTCACCTTTACTCCAACACCGGTCACGGACGCCTGCCCTATGCCAGTGCGCACGCGCAGACTCTGCGGAGACTCACTAGCCGGGACCACAACTCCCAGAGTGCTTCTCGTTCTCGCCTCCGCCCGGGACAGCTGCTCGGAGCCAGTGCGCAGACGCAAACTTAGCGGCGCCTCGGGACAGGACCACAATACCCAGAGTGTTCCGCGTCCTTGCCACCGCCTCGACCAAGATGGCCGGGAGTAAGTGTGGGTACCGTCGGCGCGCAAGGAGCAGGCGAACCCCGGGCGGGGCGGGGGTAGGGCGCTGAGGAGTCTCCGTGGAGGCGGTGGGGTCACAAAAGGGTTCCTCCAGGGCAGGGGTGGCGGGAGGTTAGAGGTCACCGGGAGCACCCCCTGCAGGGGTGACCTTTCCCGCCCACCCCTCCAGG